TATATATATATATATATATATGATACCACAAAGTTAAAAAATACAAAAAAAGGTAACGAAGGCAGGCTAGACTGATGGTACGTAGGACTAGTAGTAATGATAATGGGAACAAGGTGGCAGTGGAGGCGGCAAGGAGGTAGCGGTGGGATGATAATGGTGTTCCTGGTGCTGGTGGTTGAGATTTGGGATTCTTTATGTTTTTTTTTTAAAATGTTTATTATTTTATACAAATGATATTTTACTTTAAACTAATCTAAATTACGGAAAGAGATATTCAAACTCGGGTGCAGAGTGGGGAGCACATCCACTCTAGCCAACTTGGTTAAGCCCATGTTTGCGTTTTGTTGTTGTTGTGTGTTGCAATTTTTTTTTTTTTTTTTTTTTTATAGTTGTAATAAGTGCATGAATTCTTTTTGAGTTTCTTACGTGATTTTAATATCAAATTTTCGATTTTATTTGTGACAGTTTAAAGGTTGTAGTTGTAGTTGTAGTTTTGTGCGCTAAGATCTTTGTGTAGTTGTCTAGGCTTGTGGCTCTTATTCGAAATTTCTTTGGTCATGTATGGCTATGAGTGGAGATGCACATTGTGCACTTGTTGATACCCGTGGATTCCTCCATATTTGGGCTAACCCTTTTGTGGTTACAGTACTTCCATATTTGTATTAACCTTATGTGGCTATTTATATTTGTATTGACCCTTGTAAGTGACGATTTTGATGCCTAAATTATGAATGCAATATATCATATTTTTCTAAATTTTTTATTTAAAAAAACCTTGAAATAATAAAGAAATTAATTTTAGGAGTTTCAATATTCCAATATCTGTATAAATTAATCCAAATTATTTTTCTTCACTAGAACAATCAATTGGAGAATGGCTCAATAATTAAAAAAATAATTTCAGTAATGTATATCAAAATGACACGTTTTTAATTACTGTTGTGTTTGGTTCATAGAAAATTAAGCTTATCAATGAGAAATTATATTTCGTAAATCCAAACATGAAAAATAGTTCCTGACACATGCGAAAATAACGGGGAAAATGAAACCTTACCCTCTGAATTTCATTTTCCCTTCCCATAAAAAGTGGGTCAAAAAAGAGGAGAAAATGTGATTTAACCCAATTTTGAAACCAAAACAATAAAGTTACATCGCGCCACCGCCGCGTCATTTGTTAAGGAGGACACATCGGTCTTTTCACAAGAATGCCACAATTTCAATTTCAAGCTCCCTCCTCAGTCCTCCTTCCTCCCTCAACGCCCACCCTTCTCTACGAAAACCCCAAAATCCCAATTCAATGGAGCAGCAGAAGCGCATGGTGAGCAAGTGCCCGGAGAACGAAGAGCTCGCAGCGTACATGCTACGGAAGTGGCAGGAAATGGCCGAGCAAAAGCCCAAAGGCATCTCCGAGAACATCGAAATGACTCTTTCTAAGGCTTACTCCAATGTCTGCAACTCCAAGAACCCTATTAAAACCCTTAAAGAGTTTTCCCATATCAAGTGAGTTTTATAAGCTCTGTTTTGATTTCTCTAGAAAGTTTGCATTTATATTTAATCAGGGTTTAATTTTGATCATTCTTGGAATGGAAGATTGTCAATTGTGAGGTTTATAATCTTAACCAATTAAAGCATTTTTATTTAGTTTTATGGACAATTTATGATGCTGAAGTTATAATTTTGGTTTTAGTGGTTTTGATAATATATTTTGTTTAATTTTGTTCACTCTGCCAAGGTATAGTGATTGAAGTTGAACTGTAATTTTTTTTTTCACAGGAGCTCATGTACTTTTGTGGAATAAGATATTCTTGAGATTATGTAACTTCAGCTTATTGTTAATTTCTTGATTTTTAAAATATTTTATTGAGAGTTTATTGTTGATATGCCAAACAAGTCTTACCCAAGAATTTTTTTGTATTATTTTGGTTACAGTAGTATAATCAATATGAAGTTTCCTCTGTTTGGCTGTGGAAAAATTGTGGTTAAGACAAAATTTCATTCTTTCTCTTACCCAGGGATGGATCCAGGATTTTAAAATTGACAGGGCTGGACTTACATTAGGAACTAATATTTTTTTCCAAAGTGAAAAATTGTGGAAATTTCAATGAAGTCTAGTTTATTTCTTTGAAATTATACGTTCCTAAAAAAAGTTCAAACAATATGATGAATTTCATTTAAAAGCAGAAATTTTATACTCTAAAAAATAACTATACCTATTCTATGCATTTTACATAACACTATAAAATCTTAGGTCCATTTTGTAACATTCTTCGCATCCAGGTTTTAGTTTTCTTAATTACTTAAAAATAGAAGTGACAGTGGGGAAATGAATGAAAAGGAGGAAGAATGGATGAGAGAAGGGTGGGAAGAGCAAGAAATTAAGGGACCTTTAAAAAATAGAAACGTTTGCATTGTTTGCAAGACGGCTAATGTCACTGCAGCAAATTTAGAAAATTTGTTTAATTTATTTTAAGGTAAAATTTTTGGCCATATTTTTTTACATGTATATTAGCAAGTTGGCATTGCCTTGCTCTTGGAGAAAACTTTTTTGGACAAAAAATAAAGCATGATTATTATTAGTATGTAAAACAAAGAAGATATGTGTATGCGATGATAATGTTTTCCATTTTTCCTGTCAGCAATAATTTTGAATTTCTCTGGGTGTGAGAAACTGCAATAGAAATAGAGGTTTCTACTGCATTTACAAAAATTTAGAATGGGCTATAGCCCATACATCCTTGCATTTCTGTCTCCGTCCTTATTCTTACCTTGTAGGGAGCTGACATAATAAGAATGGAATGAGAAAATTGAATCTAATTCATATCATTTTCAGGAAGAGGTCTTCACATTGGAAACTAAAAAAATGAAATCGAGTCATTATTACTTGTCTAGAAGAATAAAAAATGTCTTGATTAGTTTGGAAGCTGTTTAGGGGTTTGCAATTTCATGATTTATTTTATTGGAATGACGTGCACCATTCATATGTTGGTGCAGGGGTGTGGGGAAGTGGATTCTGCGGCTTATGCAAGGGTTTTTTGAGACTGGTTCAAGCAGTTCTGAACCAGAAGACTTAACAAAAAAGGGTACTTTTAATAATTCATTGGCTTTCCATTCTCTGTACTTGATTTAATGTTAAATTGATTCGTTTTGCTGTCGAATATGCATGTGTTTTAGGTAAGAGAAACAAAGGAAGCAGGCGCTATCTTCCACAAAAGAATTCTGTGGCATATGCATTATTGATCACACTTTACAGGTAAACTGTAATGTTATTTAACTAAGTAAGCACTTATTCACAGCTTTAATTGAATGTGCTTTATCAACTTTTTGAAGTTGGAGTTAATGATAAGTTTTTCAGGGGAACTGAAAATGGGAATGAATTTATGCGTAAACAGGAGCTTATTGATGCAGCTGAAGCAAGTGGACTTTCTCGTGTGCCAATTATGTATGTTGTGATTCATTATATCAGTTCTGCAAATTTCTTTGTTATTTGTGTTCAGTTGTGATGTTCTGAGACCTGGTTTGTTCTTAGGCCAGAGAAGGGAAAGGGAAAACTTGGACACTTTGCGAGTTCTGCAAAGGAATGGTATAGTGGATGGTCCTGCATGACAACATTGATAACCAAGGGACTGGTTGTGAAATCAAGTTGCCCCGCAAAGTATGGCTTTTTTTTCTTTTTCATTTATATTTATTTGGTTTTACTTTATGCTAACAAGGAACTATGTAAGTATCTTATATTGTTTTTCTGCCTCAAAACTTGTAAATTTGAATGGCAAGATCTCTAGCCTTATGCACTTTTTACAATTTTACGTGGAAATGTTTAGATTGTTTCAGGAGTAATAAATAAATCGAAGTGTCTTTATGAAAGTTGAATTGCTTACAAAATCATTCCCCATTAAGAAAATGCAGTAGGAAAGGTATACTTTGATGTGAATGATGATTCACAAGTAGACTATGATGTGGAATTTATTAGAATCATTGATGAGTTGTAGTACTTAATTCTTGCCATTTAATAGAAGAATGTCTTGTCCATTGGCACATGGGCAAATATTTTCTTTTTAGGTAAATAACATTTGGTAAGAGGCTTTAGCTAATATATGATTACCAGCTCTGGAACCTTGTTTGTGATATGGTTAGTTTTCAATATGAGTTAGTACTTGTCTGTACCAAATTCTGCGAAAGCAAGTATTACATCAAGCAGTACCTGGAAGTTGTCAAGTTTCACTTAGATTGCATTTGCACATTAACAGATGTGTAATGCATGCCGACACTGTAGGTACATGCTTACTGAAGAAGGTAAGGAAGCTGCACGTGAATGTCTCATGAGGTCTGGTTTGGCAGAGCCTGTAGAACAATCTGCTAATGCCAAAGGGCCTTCTGTTCTGAATGTGGACAATATTTCACATCAGGGACTTGCTCATCCGGGCTCAGCCACAGAGGTGACATTGTTGCCCACTAATCTAAGTAGGCGGGAGAAACCGTTTGATATTCCACGGGAATACCTTGACAAGGTACATATCTAGCTAGCTTTTAATGTTTATCTTGAATTGTGGACTGGGAACAATAATCAGTTGATTTTTATATTATTTTCTGAACACACTCCTTTCCCAGGTTAAGCATATTAATTAAAGTGTGTGGTCTTAGTTGCTTAGTTCAGTTGATACCAACCCTTTAATATGAGTTTTCTTTCTCCCTCAATATCCAGTCATGCCATGGGCTGTGGTTCCCACTTGATTATAAATTAATATTGATATTGGATTTGAAAGAGGAGATTTTGTTCTGGTCATCTACATCCTGGATGGAGTTTGATTTTTACGTTGTTTGCCCATCTTTCAGATTGTCAATCAAATGAATATTTTGTTGCAGAAAAACAAAGTTAATAAGACAACACCCCCACCGCTCAACCCCCCCCGGAGGCCGATGTTCTTATGTATTTGTTCTTAGTGGATGCCTTATGTTTCTATAAGTTCATCTTTTAACCATCTAATTTCATAGACATCTTTGTGGGCATATAAATATGAAATATTTTCAGTTGAATTACAAATAAACATAAACAACTTATTTCTAGGGGTGGGAATAATATTAATGAGACTGAAAATTGTCTGCCTGACTCGACCCACCCGCGTTGGCTTCCTTTATCTTTGTTAACAGGGTTCAGGGCTGGGGTTCCATAACCATTTTTGTGAAATTGTGGAAGTCGACCCTATTTTTTTATTTCTCAAAAAAGATTTTTCCACGTGTTGTCATCTTATTTGATGTCTCTAGACTTGCTGCGGAACCGAAGCCAACCAAATATGGTTTTCACCTGAGCCAACCAACCTAGGGGCCCCAGACATTGCTCACCCACATCTGAGGGGTTTCCACCTAATGCTTAGGAAAATAAAAGGATAGGATTAGGGTTAAGGGTATTGTAAGAACATTGGTGAGTCAGTTAAGCAAAATGTCACTCTACCCGAAACAAGAGTCAATAGGTTCAAACAGTAGAAGTGATTGACATATAAACCCATCATTTTAGGTAATAATTGATCTCAAAAGCTTAATCATCCATATAGAAACAAGCCCAATGATGTATTTCAAGCTCAATAACCTCAACTTAATAAGACAGGCACATTATTGAGGCCCCGTTCTGTAAGTTTTTGTTTCTGGTTTCCAGTTTTTATATTTTATATTCTCATATTTATATTTACATTTTTTTAAAATTTATTTAAAACTCTATTTTGTAAAATAGATAGTAAAGAAAAGCATGGAAGAAAGGAGATAGATGAGAAATGAGAGAGGCCATGACAAAATGAAGAAGTGTACATAATTCTATATATTTCTCCCCTCTCCTTCACATTTTTCGCATCCGTCATCTCTCTTCTCACTTTTCTTCACTTCTCCTTCCCAATTTTTTTTAAAAAAAACTTAAAAAAAAAAACAAATAGAAAATGTTACAGAATGAGCCCTGAAGTTTTCTTTTAAATTTATCTTTTTGGTGAAATATCATGTCCGGTTTCTATTCAACTTCATAACCAAGTATTTTTGAGACGATATCCATAAGCTTCAATTGATATCTCTCTTGCTTTTCCTTTCATTTAAATTTTTTTCATTGAGCGTGAACTATATAGAAATACATGAAATGTTACATTGATTTGCTTCTTGTGTACCTGGCCATAGCACTTTGAAGTGCATGTTATAATTATTTGCTCTTTTCTAGGTCAATATTTTGTCTTGATTCATTTTCTCTTTTCTATAGTTTATGCCCATGGGGTATTCTAAGGAACAGATTGTTCAAGCTTTTACTGAAGTTTCAGAAAGTTCCCTTGGCAAGGAAATGTCTTCACTATGGCCATCCGTTCTGTGTCGTCTTCGCGAAGAAGAAATTTATGGTTTGCATTTGAAGTCTCAGACTTTAAGGAAAGATCTTTGTGCAGAACCAATCACTTACACGGTTGCAGATGGTAAGCTTTCTCTGTAAGATGCTAAGTCATAGTGAGATGCTCCAATTCTCCAAAACCATCTAAACCCCCTTTCTTATAAAGCTCTTTATAATTGCTCAGGTCATAGAGATTGTGTAATGAGTTCTTGCGATGGTGGACATGTGGCGAAGATTAATTCTGACGAGCCAGTATCAAAGTCTTTTACGTTCAGAGCTTGTTCATCCTCTGTATGTGATGTGTCAATTCAGTTTAAATACGATGATAACACTATTCCAGGGGCATATCTTGCATATTTGACTGATGCATATGTCATGTACCAAGTACTGCATAATGGGAATAGAATCATGGAATTTGAACCATCTACCCCCATTTTTTTTTTTCCAGCCTTTGAAGCTGAAAGAGGAGTCATTAAGTAAAACGAATAAGTTGTGAAAATAAGTAACCATTCACTTACATAGATGAAACAGATATATTTACTAAAATTTGATAGACAATTATTTTGTTAAAATATAATATAAAACATTTGAAAATGACTCTTGGGGAAAATTTGTACAGAGAAAATTGATGGTTTGGCTTTTCCTTTTCTTGTTAACAAAAATGTGATGTTCTCAGTTTAAAGTACACCAGATCTTATTTTCCAAATGTTATAATAAATAGCGCATTAAAAAAACAAAAAAAAAACTAAGGTTAATTTTATTTGACTGCTTTCATTTTTGTTTGTGTTTTCTTTTTTTCAAAGAAAATTTCAGTGAGGCTACCTCGGTGCTTCTGCCAAAATCTGCCTATAGTGCAGAACCTCAAATTTAAATGAGGCTTAGATTCGTCGGGTAATTGTTTTTAAATATTGTGGCTTTTGTTGAATGGATTTAGCTCTGAAAATATCATGTCAAATTGAACGCACTAAAATTGTGTTCATATGAGACTTTTACTACAAATAATACTTTAGGGGGCAGATGGTTGTAGACATTTTTTCTTACAATCAAAAGTCATCTTTTCCAGTATACTGTTATATGTTGCTCATTGACTTGTTGGCTTTCCTAGAGTCATCCTGTGCCAAAG